ACACACACACACACATACACAAATACATACACAAATACATACACAACACACGAACACACACATACACACACACACACAAACAAACAAATACATGTACAACACACACACACACACACACACACACACACACACACACAGATGAATTTAGTAGCACCCCCATTTGATGTTGAAGCTACCATAAGGAGATAAAAGTTTTAAGCTCCTTGAGCTACCGTCAGAGTTGACCGTTACCGTAAACACTTCCAAGTGGGTGGTTGGTGGATGCTCTGGTGTGGTTTGCTCCTTCTTTCCTATAAAAGAATTCAATCTTCTCTATCTCCCCTCCTTCTATTTTTTGTTTGTTACTCTTTCGTAACACTTATAATCTTCGGCACTTATGTGACCTTTTCGTGTTGCAAGTGCCGTAAAACTCTTACTAAAACTAAAACTAAAACTAAGAAACACTTCTAATCTGTGTGATCTGTGGGTGTGAGCAGTGCTGGTGATGTTTAGTTGGATACTCTCAGTCTCACCTTCAAGCTAACGAGTATTTTTGTTGTAATATGATCCAACATGGCGGCTTGAGCCACCGTGGAAAGCCCGCTGATTGATAGATGTATCGCTTCTCTTTCACTGACTACGCGGCGCACGCTTTCCCTCGTGTGGGTGGTTGATGGGTGCTTTGCTGTGGTTTGGTCGTTCACCCTTCTTTCCTGTCACACATCTATCGTCCTTGTCTCTCCTTCTTCTTTCCTATCAAACACCTATCGTCCTTATCTCTCCTCCCTCTTTTTTATGTTTGTTACTCTCTTGTAACACCTCTAATCTTCTGACGCTCATATGACCTTATGCAGTTGCAAGCGCCGTAAAACCTCTACTAAAAATATAAGTAAAACCCCATACCCTTTCACCATTTTCCCAACTCCCAGCATGCTCTATGTGTTTTACCCCTCTGTATAACCCAGCAGACTCCCAGAACATTCACAAACATTCTCGGCTTCCCGGGAAGCATGCGGTGCAAGCTGCGGGTTGCAGACGCTCAAACACTAACAAACTGACAAGATCTTTGGCTGTAAAATGTTACCTTTGCCGGCTTGTGGTCCCATGACCGGTGTATCTCTTTTGTTGTGGGGGGGTTTATCATACGGATAAAAGAAAGCG